CCCATTTTTACAACTCCTCTCTCGAGATTGACAAATGTGATCTAAATTGTAATAGTTACAAAATAAATTGAAATTATTGTAACAACAAACTACATTAATAAATACAATGAGAGAAAATTAATTAAATGGTCCCAAAAGGCAAAGTGGTTGGTTAAACCACCACATGAATGGGACTATGGAGGGAAATGCCGAATTAGAGCTGTACTGTACTGTAGTCTGTATACAAGGAGAGATTCATTTTCATTTCCCTCGTTTGTATCGCCACCTCCTGGCTTTCTCTTCAATTCTATCGCCCATTTTCTTCTACAAAAACCTAATAATTTCTCATTCAGTTTTTGCAAATTTCGTCAATCGCACTCTTCTCCATCTCATTTGTTTCAGTATTTGCATAATAATCGTATTGGAATCGTCTTTCATCAATGGCTTCTTTCAGCATTCCTTGTCCGAAGATCTCCTCTCTAATGGGTGCTTCATCGGAGTCGGAGAACCGTCACGAGAATCGCCCATGTATCGCATCGTTTCCTCGATCTGATTCCAGATCGAATCTGGGGCCTTTGTTTCTCACTCAGGTTTATCTCTTTTTACGACTCTTTTTTGTCCACATTGAATGAATTATACACGGAAATATATGATTTATTGATATTACATGTAATGAATCAATGCAATAGAATACTATATTGTATGTGTTTACTTGAGAGCTAAAAAGCAGATTTTCTGAGGAAGCAATTTATTTCTCATGGCTCTTTTCTTCACGCCAATGAATGAATTATAAGCGGATGTATATTCCTTGATGATATCATAATCAGTGAAATTTTCCCTAGTCGAATAATTTTCTATGGAAGTTCTTAAAGTAATGAAGAAAATCACTACTCCAGAGGACAGGGGTGTTGGTTAATTGTTATGATTGTTACTCCATACTGATTCATCAAATAGGATAGATAGTTACCTTTATACTTAGAGCTAAAAGGAACAGACTCTTCCAAGAAGAAATGTTTCACATGACACTTGGAGCATAACAAAATTTTCTATCACAATGTTTTCAAATAGTTTCTTTTGCATTTAACATCAATCTCAGTACTTACAAATATTTTGAGCTTTGGCACATTAATTCTCTTCATACATCGTCTGCCTTCTGCACAAATTATCTGTTAGAATGCCTTGTTGTGCCATACTGGTTCCATTCAGCGTCCTTGCCAGTGTGAGCATGTAACAAATTTTTAATTCTCATTATTCTGCTTATAAATGAAGCCAGAACTGGAATGATGAAAATATTAAGTGCATATATTTATCATGATATATCTTAGTGTTGATACTTACAAGCTAGACCGCTGAGATAGAAGGATCATGAACTGCTTTCTCACTTCTGCTACACATCATTAACGAAGTTAAATGTGGTTCAAAAGCATTTCGCAGCGGGCTGACATTAAAAGACTAAAAGAAAGAAATTACTCAAGTAGATTCTTATTTATTTTACTGCAATATGGTTAAAGGTCCTTCCATTTTTGACAGGGATGTAACCGGAGCCAATCTGATGTTTTTAAGGTGTGTGCACAGCTAAATGAGGTAAGGTGAACTTTGTTATCAGTCTAGCTTTTGATTCTTCTCCTCCGTCCATGTCTCTCTTCTCACTTGTTTAACTTGATGTCACCTTTTACCTTAGCTATGACATTCTTTTTCTTTACAAGGTTGCTGTTGAGAAAGTATCAAATTCTGCACCATCTATTGAGACAAAATTGGCCAAAGAAGTGGAAAGCCAATACACAGTTCCAGATGCACCATCCATTTCAGCATTTATGACCCAAGTGGCGGATCTTGTCAAGTGTGTAAATTGCTTTGTATAAAGCATCTGATAACTTTCTGAATCAGTCTTCATAAATGAATTGTAATTTACTTTTTATGTTGCCAGGCTAGTAGATTCCAGAGATATTATGGAGTTGGAGCTTAAGCAAATGGACTGTGAAGTCCTTATAAGAAAAAAGGAGGCATTGCCACAACCATCAGCTGCAGCTCCTGTTTTTTATGCACAGCCTTCCACTCAGCCATTGCCTCCTTCAATTGTCCCTGCTCCTGCTTCTCCAGTCCATTCGACTCCAGCTTCATTGCCAGCACCACCTGCTCCGGCAAAATCAAAGTCATCACATCCTCCTCTAAAATGTCCTATGGCTGGAACATTCTATCGTTCTTCTGCCCCAGGGTCACCGCCTTTCGTGAAGGTTAATGCATACAATACTTCACGTGTGTTTATGCATGAAAATAACTTCGGAAAGTTGTTAAATTGAATTTCGTGTCCTTTTCCCGTTCTTTTAAACCTGACACGAGCAAAGACATAGGGACTGCGTCGAAGGGGTTTTCCAACTCAGCCACTGGGTTTCCTGGTTCAATTGCTGGGTCAATTAAATTCAATGTAGTTTTAAAATACTTCAAAATTGAGAAAACATGCTAAACATGTTTGTTCATATTAGGATAGAAGTCAGTTAGATTAGAAGAGGGAGTAATAAATACATAGTTAAATATGAAGTGATAAAATACTTCATGTCTTGCTTCCTTTTGTTTTATGCTAAATTCTATCAACTGAAACTTCAGTTAACTACACTTATAGCAAGGCCTAGAAATAAAAAAAATTAGTATATATCAACTTCTCAATATCTGTAATCTACAGCACTAACATTGAGATAACTTATAACTACCCTTTTTTGTCATATATTTAACATCAATATTCTGTTGCTATCAATTCTGATATAAAATGTATTTTCTAGGTGGGAGATAAGGTCCAAAAAGGGCAGGTAGTATGTATTATTGAGGCCATGAAACTGATGAATGAGATTGAGGTAAGCTGCTGGACCTTTGTCTGAGCTGTTATTGTTCCGTACATCCTGTTTACATTGTGGACAATTATGACCAATGTATGCAAAATATTGAATTGCAAAATAAGTAAACTCTGGAATGAGGTGATTAAGTTAAAATGAATGTTTGATAATTCGTTCTTATACTCTTTGGCACACAGCAGTGTGTAAAGAAAAATTCTAACTTGTTTTTCTTCCTAATACTGTCTAGTCCTGGTTAATCTTTTTTACCAAATTGGCCATTATAGATTGTTATTCATTATTTCCGTATTCTAGGAAATAACAAGGAGAACTTTAGGAAAAGAACCATGCGGGAGCATTACAGATGATATTTTTTTATTAGAAACAGAACAGTCCATATTCTCAAAAGAAAACATGTTTCTGTATTTCATTTCATTTTTTCTTTTTGCAATTCTTCTGAAAACAAATCAAAATCACATGCATCTTTAAGCTGCGAGCATTTATAGCACAGCATATCATTTCACTTTCAACACTTCATGAATGCTGAAGTAAACACATCAGACATCTAAATTTCAACGCGATTTTAATCCTACATATTGATTTCTGTATTTTTTTCAGGCTGATCAATCCGGAACCGTAGTTGATATACTTGTAGATGATGCGAAACCCGTCAGTGTGGACATGGTACCTTTATTCTCTTTTACCTTTCCCATCACCCCCTTTAGAGACATTGTACTTATTGCTTGTGAAGCTTCAATGCTGCTTACTGTTGAATATAAGATGTAAACAAGTATACGTAGTACTCTCTAATAGTTTAAGTTTTTAAATGAGATAGTTAACTTAGTATCTGAGCCAAGGAAAAGAACTAGGGTAAAATCTTGTTGCCTCCCATTTTCGATAAATTGTGCACGTGTTTGACCTGTGATCGGATTTAGATGTGAGGGATGGGTTGAAGACAACTTAGACAAATATGAATAAATATATGTAGCCCCACTCCAACATCTTAAGCTTTTAATAAGATGTTTAACGTTGTGTAGAAAACATCCCCCATGTATTGAACTTAAATGCAGAATGGAGGGTTGTGATATAATGCATATTCCTGTAAACCATCACCTTGAATACATATCTCTCTTCAACTGTCAATTTGTTTTGTCCATAACTTTTTGTTCCTCCTTGCAGCCTCTATTTGTCATCGAGCCATGAAAGGAAAAATGTTAATCCTCCTATGAAGTTCGGTGATTGAAAGCATATTAAGTATCAACTTTCTTCTTCTTCTTTTCCATGGGATTATAGCATGTATTGGTGTTACAAGAGTCTTAGTGTATTTTTCCTATTTTGGCTTAAGCTATATGGTACTCGTTAATTTCAGAACAATAGATTTTTCTATGCAAATATGTTGGTACTTAAAATGTAGTGTGCTATCTCTCTAAGTGGAGATCTTTCATTTCTAGTTAGCCCCTGTTTGATGGCCAATATTGGAAAAAAAAATGATGTTTTGGATAGTATTTTTTTGGCAAGTATGTGGTTAAGAAGTATAGAAAAATTTTGGATTTACTTGCAAAATATTTTATTCTATGAATGTGTGGTTGAAAATGAGTATGAGAATTAAAAAGTTTTGTTTTAAAGGGAGACAAACCAAACATGGCTTAAAGAGTTATGCTTGATGTACAGTTATCTACCATAAAGTCAATTGTTATACATACACACATGATGACTAACATGTATATAAAATTACGGATACGTTCATTTAAAATTGCAATGATTTTGGGAAATTTGACAATCGTAGCGTTCCTACTTTCTGGTTAAATTGTGGTTGTCTTCTTCGATTGTTATCTCCTTTTACTCTTCTATCCTCCATCCTTGTTTCCATCCAAATTTTCTGTTAAAGTAGACAAATTTTACCAACCCCAAATGCCTTGCCACCCATCTGCAAACACCTAAATCCATGCCCACGTGAACCCCCTAACCCCAACAAAAGTTTCTCTCACCATAGACATCTGCAACTCCACCTTGAACGGTGGATACAGATTCTGTCTATCGTTGTTGATGAGTAAGTCTTAGAAGAATGATGTCGGATTTTGCCATTGATAGTTCCATCCATCATGAAAACATGCACTTATTTTTCACATCATGAAACCTTAAATGGAATTCAAAATAATGCAACAAAGACTGTTTAGTTCACCAAACACATAATGATCATCGTCGTTTCTTCAAATGATCAACGAATGTTTCAAAATTCCGAAATGAAGATCCCGATTCACTAACACTCTTGAGAGCCAAATCCTTCAGTTTCAAAGCATTGGTTTTAATACCATAGTCAGCAAACAACATTTCTATTTTTGTCTTAATTTCATGCCTTGATCTGAGTCCACTTTCATTTGGATTCAGGCTCAAACCAATCTTCCACATTGAACAAATGTAATTCTGGTTATGAAATTGATCTGCAAAGTAAGGCCAACACAAGAAAGGAATACCCATGCTCAAGCCCTCAACAGTCGAGTTCCATCCGCAATGGCTCAAAAAACACCCAACAGAAGAATGAGCCAATACTTGTTCTTGAGGTGTCCATTCTACAATTTTTGCACGCTCTGCCACTCTTTCAAGAAAGCCATTTGGGTACTCCGCGTGCAATCCATTGGCAAGATTTGATCTAACGACCCATAGAAAGGGCCGGCTTGAAAGTTCAAGACCCAAGGCAAGTTCATTTATTTGGTCTTGAGAGAATGCAGCTACGCTGCCGAAAGAAACATAGATCACTGATCCATCTGGTTGGTTATCTAACCAGCTTAAACAAGTTGTGTCCTCCACCCAAAAGCTACCACCACCGGCTGAAGATTTTAAGTTATTGCTACTAAGTAATGGTCCAACGGGGCAGATTTTGGGAATCAATTTACAAGCCGATGATTCAATTTCATGAAATGTATTACAAAGCAGCCACTTAGCATGATGTGCTGATCGTTCAGCTGTCCTAAAAAATTCGAAGAAGAGCTTTTGTGTGTTAAGGTCACCCGAGACGCACCAGATCAGTTCATTTTTTCTCCAGGAAGGTATCTCATCAGACAAAATGAGTTCATTTTGCACCATTGTTCCTGAAATGAGAGCAAGTTTTTGAGCAGGTATGTTGAAGTCTATTTTCAGATTCAACTCAACATCCTATTTGAGAAATATCAAGAATTGACAAATAGAAGTAGATACAAGAATTTATATGGAAAAGCTTCATAAACTCTGAGAAATTACCTGCTATAAGATACATATATTAATCCACTTTGTTAAAAAATGTTACAATTATTGAGAATTAGAAACCTTAATTCTATTTCACCGAGAGCAATCAATTCGCAAAGAAGAAAAATAAAGACTCAAAAACACAAAAGATTTATAAATGTTCGCCTCAATGTGAGACTATATCAATCCCCTATGATGAAAAGAAGTTCACAAGAGAAAGTTGCACACTCTATCTTGTTTAACCACTCTCTCTTTTCGATGATAATATAAAATTCTCGTGACAACTCCCTATTTATAAGAAAAATTAGAATAAACCCAAAATTACAAGCATGATTAGGCTCCATGCAACGACGATAATTAGGCTTAATAACTTAACAACAATCACATATTTTCACATCTAATCACCCAATTACACACAAGAACACAAATAATTATATATATTTTTCTCTCTTTTCTTAGGGTTCTCATTTATTTTGGGTTCATTGTCCTTTAACTATGTGATTTGCGTTACACAAGGATTGAAATTTGTTAACAATTTGTAACCCCCCAAAAAAAACATAAAGAGAACAAAACAAAAAATGTTATAAAATTTAATTTTACCATTCATATCAAGATTTCCTGCTTCAATAAGCTTTGGAATGTGATGTGTCAAGGCCATCTCTGCTGCTGCACCTGGTAGAAAAGCTACTGGTTCAGCTCCCATCTTTTGGATATCATCAAGAATCCATCCAATTGTAATATCAGCTATGACACAACTAATCTTTTCATCACAGCTAACCTTCTCCATCAGATTTGTCAAATTTCTCGGCAACGTTCTTCTAAGACTTTTGTTGATGATAAAACCATTGTTTCTATCATCATCAGGCATCAATCCGTCAGGAATCGATGTTAGTTCTATGCTTCTTTGCTCCTTATCTTCCTCAGACATTGCAGCAACTACTTTTGCATGTATATATTCTGTGTTAACAAATGTAACCTTGATTCCATGATTGGCAATTTGTTGAGAGAATTTCATGAGTGGCCGGACATGTCCTTGAACTGGAAATGGCACAGCCAATATATGTGGTCTCTTGCCCTTCACTCCCATCATTTCTTGCTCTGTTAATGATTGATCCATCTTCAGATCTCTGTGTTTGTAAGAGAGAGATTATAATAATAGCACGACTTTAATGAAAAGTCATAAAGTCTAGTGCGTTTTGTGATTTTCCATTTGAAATGAACACCACCTAGTGCATAAACAGGAGGACTAATATTTTAACATTTTTCTTTCATTCTTAGGCCAGTTTGGCAAAGTTGCTTATGAAACTGTTTGGATAATTTTCTTTATTTTATCGGACTGGAAGAAGTTTTAAAGGAAGCTGACTTGAATAGAACGCTGCCAAAAGGGTCTTAATCACGTGGCTTCCTTATTTTAACAACATAAATGTTTCTAATTTATTTGACGTTAGAAAATTCAAGGATGTCCATGTCACCTTCTACAATAAGAGGGGTGGATGATGGATCGCACTCATGCAACAGGACTATTTAATCTGACCATTGAAGAAATACAGAAATAAAACCAAACACAGCAGAATCATCTTCATATTTTCAGATGATTAATAAATGTTTCGAAATTCTGAAAAGTAGATCCCGATTCATTGACACTCTCGATAGACATTTCCTTCACTTTCAAAGAATTTTCTCTAATACTGTGATCAGAAAACAGCATTCCTATTTTGGTCTTAATTTCATGACTTGATCTGAATCCATTCTCGTCAGGGTTGAGTCTCAAACCAATCTTCCAGATATCACAAATATAATTCTGGTTATGGAATTGATCTGCAAAGTAAGGCCAACACAAGAAAGGGACCCCCATGCTTACGCCCTCTACGGTTGAGTTCCATCCACAATGGCTTAAAAAACACCCAACAGAAGAATGAGCCAATACTTTTTCTTGAGGTGTCCATTCTACGATTTTCGCCCGGTTGGCCACTCTTTCCTGGAAGCCATTTGGGTACTCAGCGTGTGATCCATTGGCAAGATTTGATCTAATGACCCATAGAAAGGGTCGGCCTGAATGTTCAAGGCCTAACGCGAGTTCATGTAATTGATCCTGAGAGAAAATGGCTATGCTGCCGAAAGAAACATAAATCACTGAGCCAACTGGTTGGTTATCCAACCAGCTTAAACAAGTTGTGTCCTCCACCCAAAAGCTACCACCACTGGCTGAAGATTTTAAGCTATTACTACTAAGTAATGGTCCAACAGGGCAGATTTTGGGAATCAATTTACAAGCTGACGATTCAATTTCATGAAAAGTATTGCAGAGCAGCCACTTCGCATGATGTGCTGTTTGTTCGGCAGTCAGACAACATTCAAAAAAGATCTTTTGAGTCTGAAGGTCGCTCGAGAAGCTCCAGGACAGTTCATTTCTTTTCCAGGGAGGTATCTCATCACTGAGGTTGATCAATTCACTTCGCATCATTGTTCCTGAAGCGAACAAATTGTTATATATATGTGTATGAATGTAGATTGAAGGACTATCCAATCCAAATAAAAATACAGACTCCACAGCAAGACTATCCGTCAAATAATACTCTATCTATTCAGTCCAAAACTCTGTGAGCACTTCAGGTACACCTCGAGGCTCGTTCAAAATTTTGAGTGTGGAAGGTACATCGGTGGAGTCCTTTTTTGCAAGGAAATCAGTTTCGGGACAGTTGACATATTTTGACTGTAACAAAATGTAACCCCTAAAGAAAATAAAAGAGAAGGATTAAATAGAACAAAGAAAGAAATCTCCAAATTTAATTTTACCATTTATATCGAGATTTCCTGCTTCGATAAGCTTTGGAATGTGAAGTATCAGGGCCATGCCAGCTGCTGCCGCAGGAAGGAAAGCTACTGGTTCAGCTCCCACCTTTTTGGCAACATCAAGAATCCACCCAATAGCGATATCAGCTATGACACAACTAATCTTTTCATCCCCATTTTCACAGTTGATCTTCTCGATCAAGTCTGTCAAATAGCCTGGCATCGTTCTTACAAGACTTTCTGTGACGGTAAAATCATTTTCTCTATCATCCTCAGGAATCAGTCCATCAGGAATCGAGGCTAATTCTATCCCTGAAACGAGGACTAGGAGTCTGAAACCAGCCAGTACTTTTGCGTGTACGTATTCTGTGTTAACGAAAGTAACTTTAATCCCATGATTGGCAATTTTCTGAGACAATTTCATGAGTGGCATGACATGCCCTTGAGCTGGGAATGGCACAACCAATGCATGTGGTCTCTTGCCATTAACTGCCATTGCTACTTCTTGGCTTGTTAATGGATGCTCCAACTCGAGGTCTGTGCATGTATTTGTATACAAGTCATTAACGGTGTACATAACAGTGAAAGTTTAAGTTGATAGAGAAATTAATATATATTAAACTGATGATAGGACTGATTCTCTTTGTTATATCCTTTGAACAATCCAATCATCTATGAACCTTGTCCATGCACAAAATGTGAACATCTTCTAATATGATATTACTGTACGTATTATGAAGATTTCTTTGAGACTGCATAATGCATCCATCGAGTTAAAACTTTACATCGACTGATTGTGTTGCTCTTATTAATTAATCAGCCCTGTTTGGTTTGGCTGAAAATCAAATTTTTAGAAGATTTTAATGAGAATTCATGAAATGAATGGTTGAAAGGTTGATAAAAGTTGTAGATCCCATAAAATTTGTGGTTAAAATTAATTGTTGGTTTTAATTTAAATTTTTATAACTTTTTAAAATTAACACCTATTTGATGCACATTATTCTTCCAAGAATGAATTTTAAATAGTAATTTGATGGAAAATATGTGGTTAAAAAAAGGAAAAATTTTGGATTTGCTTGTAATATTATTTTATTGAAAAATATGTAGTTGAAAATAAGAGAGGAGAATGTATTTTTAGAAGAATGGGTATCAAACATGGTGTAAATACGCAATGCAATTGGAAATAGGCTTGTTTCAATTTTTGCACATATTAAAAAATATATAATTAATCCAATTGGAAATATAAATTTTTCTTACATTGATCCTAATATACTCTTACATTAAATAATGCTCTAAATAAGAGTAGTTCATATTTGTTAATAACAATACATATTAAATAGATGCATAATAGAAAATTAAAAAAAAATTATCTATACCCTCAACAAGGAAAGTGCCCTAGAATTTGGGGCAAACAAAAAGAAAAGAAAAAACAAACATATCTTTATGGTACAGAGAGAGCATTCTACTTTCTTTTGAATTAACATTTGTCACGTTGTGTTGTGTCGTTTTATCTTTTTCAATTTTCGTGCAATCCAAGGTTTCATTTATTTAATGATCTAAAAAATTTGTCCACACACAGCACAAACAACAGATGTGAAAACCATCTAATATGACAGATGAAACTATTGTTTTCTTTTCTCAGCATCATACGGCTTTCTGATAAATACGGCATCTTCTACATTGTTTGCATTTAGACTTAATGAGGCCGAATGATGCCTGCAATATGGAGAATCTCATTTCTGTTGTCATAGAACCCAAAAAACACAAAGTTTGATACCTCTACTCTTATCCTATTATATATTGTCTCTATGTTTGTGTTTGTGTACATATGAATTATTTGTGTCATTCTCTTTAGTTATTATATTCACTTGGATGGTGCAAACTTTTGTGTTTTCTTTCTACCGATTGTTATGATCATGTCACGTCCGATGTTATATCCCTAAAAAATCCAGATTAGTCCGTATTATAGAATAGATAGAACCACGAAGGCCCCATTAGGCAACACGGAAGGGTACAAATCATTATTAGCTTCTATAGCGAAGGCAAATGTATAACGCGAGTTTGCAGCTAAAAGATTGGCGGTGTCATGAATTTTCTTGATGAATTCCACTACTAGAATTGGTGGTTGGCTCGACACGTCTGCTCTTGCCTTGGAGGTCAGCCCAGAAGTCTCAAATAGATAGGGATTGCTGCGGAATACTTTTGAGACAAATTGAGTGAATTAATTGAAGAATAGTACTGTAAGACTTTGCTCCTGATCCTCAGACTTTGTAGCCAGTACTTTTGCGTGTAAGTATTCTGTGTTAACGAAAGTAACTTTAATTCCATGATTGGCAATTTTCTGAGACAATTTCATGAGTGGCATGACATGCCCTTGAGCTGGGAATGGCACAACCAATGCATGTGGTCTCTTGCCATTGACTGCCATTGCTACTTCTTGGCTTGTTAATGGATGCTCCAACTCGAGGTCTGTGCATGTATTTGTATACAAGTCATAACGATGTACATAACAGTGAAAGTTTAAGTTGATAGAGAAATTAATATATATTAAACTGATGATAGGACTGATTCTCTTTGTTATATCCTTTGAACAATCCAATCATCTATGAACCACGAAGGGTACAAATCATTATTAGCTTATATAGCTAAGGCAAATGTATAACGCGAGTTTGCAACTAAAAGACTGACGATGTCATGAATTTTCTTGATGAATTCCACTACTAGAATTGGTGGTTGGCTCGACACGTCTGCTCTTGCCTTGGAGGTCAGCCCAGAAGTCTCAAATAGACAAGGAGTGCTGCGGAATACTTTTGAGACAAATTGAGTGCATTAATTGAAGAATAGTACTGTAAGAAGAATGACGATGAACACAGTATGCCTGGAGAAAATTGTGCTTGTGAAATATGTTTCAAGGGACATCTTTTAGTTCTAGAAGGTATGCAAATTGGATAACTAGTGAAGAGGTTTATAAATCCACACGGGTGGTTGAATTTTGGGGTTGAAGTGCTTCAATTACATAGGAAGCTAGTTGGAACTTGAAAGACCAGTGTACCATGCTTATTAACATGAAACTATAAAACTATAAGATTCACATTCAAACATATTCTGCGATGTATTTCTTTTCAATCCCGCTACACGTACAAATTTGGCTTTTTGATTGACAATGCTGAGGTGGAAAATGTTTAAACAAAAAAAAAAAAAAAAGGAAGAAGAAGATGAAGCAAAAACTGGTTTCTTAAAAAAACCGGACTCAAATTCCCAAATTGAAACCCTCAAATCCTCTCCAGCTTTTCAATTCTCAGGCATCATTGGAACGACCACCCAACTCCTTGCCCCCTCCAGCCGCCGCCTAACCACTTCCACATCATTCCTCCATCCCTGTCGGCGACGAAGATGCAAGATTGTGGTCTCTAGTATTTGGGGGTAAATCGCGATTTGTGAATAACCGGAATGGAATGAGCCGGTTTTAGCTATCAATTCCTTTTTTTCTCTTTTATCATTCCATTACTTGCCATGTTAGTACATTTTAAATTACTGTAAAAAAAATTGTCAATCACAAATGTACAAGAAGCTTAGTTCTTTTTTTAGCCCTTCTCGACATAGCAACCCACGTATAAAAAAATGGGGATAACATCTCTCAAAGTAAAATTAAGCGGGTAATGAAACCACAAAAGATAAGTTGCAAAGCAACAAAATGAGAGAAATCCATTCTGGAGTTAAATCGAGTCCATCTTTAATAGTATAAATGAAAATCCATCCTGCCTCCCCAATACGACAAATATCTCCAGCTACTTCGGAATGGAAATTAAAACTAACATAAAAATCTATGGGTAAAAGTAGAACAAATAACGAAACATTCGAAATGGGTGCTTGCATTCTCAAGGGTACGAAGCAGGGTGAAAGCTTACGATGATGACAGCATAAATCCAAAATCCAAGTTACTAACTTTTTGGGCTAGACCGAGGTCCCAAGCCCATGTAGTTTGTTACCAATCCCATAATGCCGAACCTGGTTCCAGAAAAAACAAAACAATTGCAATCATTTCAAAGCATCCACAAGGAGAACGGACTATAAAACAAAGAAAACATCTAGTCTTTCCTGCAGGGTCAATAAATCAGACGTGTACCCATCGAGTCAAACAGAAACCAGATCTGATCAAATACATTACTGCACTTATAGTAACATATCGGCCTTTCCAATTTATTTTATGCATAATTGCTTAAATCTTCAACTATTAATATCAGATGATCTCAAAATAATTAGCTCCATTTCCTAACATGAGCATCCAGTGTACATCTAAAAAAAGTACTGGTAATGAGAGGGCAAGTGCTTTGCCAAGTGTACCAGCCAAACACAAAAGGCAGGTATGAACTAGTATGAACAAGAAGATTCATCCCTTTCCAGTTCTTAAAGTATCAAACTTCAACTTTCCAAAGTCGACAAACTCTACTTGTTTCTAGTTTCAGCCAACAAAAGAACCCCGAAAACAAAACATAGAGGCAACAATAAGAAGTTATATATATAGATATATATAGAGAAAAAAAGCGGAGTCAAACGTCTTAGGTGCCACCAAAAATTTGCAACTTCCCTTGAGGGAACACAAGGTTTAAAAGTCTAGGGCATGCATGGGCTCTTCACTTGTTCTCTTCTCTAAAATATCTTCTACGTCGTATGGGTTAGATTGTGTTTAACCGAAAATACACTTCACATGTTTTGATGACTTTTGAGCAAAGACAAGCCAAAAAGTTGAGGTTGGCAAAAGATTAGCCCAAAAAGCATAGTCCAAGGAGCTAACTCCTCAAGCACCCTGATGTTAATGTCATGAGGCACACTAAGTGAAGGCATAAGCCTTAACAAAGGTCACTCAAAGAACAAGCATGCAGGGCTGATGAACACCTTGCAAGATGGCGGTTTTGAAAAATGAAAACACAAGGTAAAGTTATGCATTTCTTGTTGGGGAGATGCTATATTCTCAACCACTTTCAATTGTGCAACTAAAATTTGTATCTTCCACTCCATGAAGTAGTATAGAACGATGTAAAACCTAATTTTATTAATTTGCAGCCACGTGGTTCGGCAATGTTCACAGGCCTTCTCAAAAGAACACAAAGATTAGGATTAGAGGGAGAGAGATAGAAACATATATTTATCATATGGTCATTGCAAGAGCTATGTGTTTATTGGAGGAGAAGAGGATGAAAGATTACAATAAA